GTGTAGAACTCCGCCGTAATGTGTTAGGTCCAGAACACCCACATACCATATCCTCCTCTAACGCACTTAGAGACTGGGAAAGAGCAGTGAATTCCTATTCAAAGAAGTCAACACAGCAGACTTCAGCCGCAACACCCCCTGTCTTGCCTATCCACAATAATCGTCCCGAGCAGATAAAATCAGACTCCGAACCTGTGACAGGAGGTAAAAGATGGGCATTAAAAAGGTTTTTCGGGAGAAGATGATCTACTAAGCCTTTTACTGCGGCTAGATTCATCCTGTACTTGATCTGGTTTATGTATCAATCAATCAATCAATCAATCAAAATTCTATTAACCTGTTCGAGCCTAACTACTGAATGTCTAGCTATTCAGGTGCTTCAAAAGAGCCTAGAATCTAACCGTAAAACGCCATATGCCCACAAGGAAGTAATCGAAAGCTTTTATAACAACTAAACCTGCCTGCCACCTGACAGTCCCCTTGAATCCCGCCTTCCTAATCCCTCACCATCCTGCGTCCTCCAGCCCCTTCTAGTGTCTCCTGGTACGTAGGTATTGGTGCGCGTACTGAGAGGGTTTGACCACGTCCTCCCTGGTGTGACCGTTTACGCATCGTCTTCCACATCCGTCCCCCTTTCATAGTGACCAGTTTGCTCAACGTCTTTAAACTGACTGAGCAATCCTGTTTGGTGCATAAATTCGGCGACGTAGCGCATCGCCTGCGGATGGGATATAATCGCGTTGTAATTCATCTTTCCACGGACCCTTGGGTCCAGTTTATCTAACATAATCTTCCTGGACTCGGCATAGAGCGGGCATTGTAGAAGGATATGTCTCGGTGTTTGAGACCCCAGCCCACAATGGCACTGATCCGAGTCCGAGGCTTTAATCTTGAAGAGAAAATGCTTTAATCCACTTCTCTGTGTCCTCATTTGAATGATAATAGATGCGTGCGGCTTGGGTAGGCCTTTGTAGAGATCCAGCACTCTCCTATTCGGGACCTCTACCAGTTTGTATGTGGTTCGGCCTGTCTTCTCCGTTTTCCACTCCCTGGCCCATCTGTCCTTGATCCGGCGGCGTATCTGTCGTTTGGCCGCGGCGGCAAGGCAGACAGCTTCGCCAGTTCGCTGCGTGCCTTCACGTGCGGCTTCGTCGGCGGCCTCATTTCCTGGCACCCCGATATGCGCAGGGATCCACCGGATCTGGATCCGGTTCTGCATGGCGTACCGCCATGTCCCGGCATTCCGGTGTGAAATTGGGATTGGCCCACGCGCTAGGACGGACCCACGGGACCGCGTGTTGAATGGCGCGTTGGACGACCTCCATGAGGAAGTCCGCAGCGTCGTCAATCGTGGTCGGCGAGGGATCCGCCCGGAGCATGTCCCAGCGTGAATATATATTAAGGTTGTCGGCCACGAAGTCCCGCAGCTTGGCTGCGTCCATGGCCTTCCAGTTGCGTCGTTTCGGCGGTAGGTATGCTTGCGGGGCGAAGTCGAGAATTGTGTGGATTGGCAGGTGGTCCGAGTCCGTGTGGACCTTGGGCGCCACCTCACAGGCAATAAATTGCTCGGCGAGGCTCTGTGCTCCGAAGACCAGGTCGGTCGTGGACCGGTGGTTGTTCCAGTCTCGGGTCACCGTTCCCGGTTCGAGCCAGAGATCCAGGAGCCGGGAATCGGCAAATTCCAGCAGGCGGGGGGCTCTCCGGTCGGTGCGGGTTCGTCGATCTCTGCCGGTGTCGTCGGTATCGGCGTGCGCGTCTCGTTCGGACCAAGCCGGATGATGGAGATTGAAGTCGCCGAGGATGATATGGTCCCCCTTCGGGGCCACCACTCGGTCAAGCAATTCTATGGTGTCAGTACGGTTGTTGTCCCACGGTCCGGGATTATATATGTTGAAGATGTGCAGCTTCCTGTCTTGTACCTGGAGCTCGAGCTCCTGGCAGTCGGCGGAGTGCACCGTGTGTTTCCACGTTCTGGGGTTAATCTTGCGTGAGACATAGAGAGCCACGCGGGCTCGCTGATCCCCGATGTCGGTGGGATACAGGAGCTGGTGGCTGCCAAATGCGGGGTGATGTGTCGTGTCGGAGTGGGGATTCTTCCAGGGTTCCTGGACTGCAATGATATCGGCTTGCAGCACCGCGGGATCGCGCAGGAACTGCGCCATCACGACGTCCCTGGATCGGTTCACGTTGTATTGTAGTATCTGTAGTTGTTTAGTCATGGTTCCGGGTGGAAGCGGTGGTCGTGGTGGCTGATCGAGTCCGCCCTCGGGTCTCGGTATCAGGACCCAGGGAGTCCCGTGCCCGCTGGCGTTTTCTCGGACTCAACGATCGGGCCGGTGGGTGTGGCTCTATCTGTGCATTCTGTCTTGCGACTTGGATTGCACGGTCGATCTGGTTGACGAGCCGGAGGCTTCGTCGCGTTCCCTCGGTGCCGGAGGAGGTCAGACTCCGTCGGGTGGTCTCCGGCAGGGTTGGGACGCTGGTCAGCGTCGATTCGGTGGTCAGGGTGTCAACTGGCGGGTTAGCATCGGTCTGCGGAGAGGTGTTCCCGGTGAACCTCAGTCCCTCCATGGCCGAGTCGTCCGGCGCGTCTCTGGCGGCTGCGGACGGTCCCCCAGATCCCGCTTCAGCCCGTGGGGCGACTCTGGCACC